GGGTGCTACATCCCTGGAAGTGTTCGAGGCCAGGTTGGATGGGGCTCCGAGCAACCTGGTCTAGTGAGGTGTCCCTGCCCACGGTAGGGGGCTAAAACTAGGTGATCTTTAAGGTCCGTTCCACTGAGGCCCCTGTCCGTGCCCCCGATCCCCCCGTACCTCCACTCGCCCCGTGCCGCCGGTGCCGCCGCTCAGCGCGCTCCTTGTCCGCCGGGGCTCCCGGCAGCCCCGCGGCCCCGCACGCATGCGCCTGCGCAACCACCCCGCCCGCTCGGGCGCGGCGGCGCTTCCCGCCGGAACGCGCGTGCGCGGGGCCGCGCGGGAGGGGGGCGGTGGCGGGGCCCTGGGAAGGCCCTTCCCGCCCTTGGGAGGAGCTGAAATGTGCGTGCGCAATGCCACACACAGCATGGCGCGGCGAGCGGCGGTGCCGCGCCGCCGCAAGCGAGAGCGGCCCGTAAAGGGAACCTGGGCTGCGCGACACCGGGCGGTGGTGGGCGGCGGGTGAGTGAGAGGGCGGCGCGGGCGGGGCCGGGGGGCCCGGGCGGGATCGCTGAATCGCCTGAGCGGGCAGGGGTGGCGGGCAGCGGGCGGTGCGAGAGTGGGCGGGGGGCGCTGCGCGCGAGCGTTTGTCAGGGCCCCTTCGACCGCCGCTCTGTGCGGGCTGGCGGCGGCGTCGCCGTCGTGTGCAGAAGGGAAAGGTAATTGTGTGTGTCCAGCTCTGTGTGTGTGTGTGTGTGCAGCTGTGTGTGTGTGTGTGCAGCTGTGTGTGTGTGTGCAGCGGTGTGTGTGTGTGCAGCGGTGTGTGTGTGTGCAGCGGTGTGTGTGTGTGTGCAGCTGTGTGTGTGTGTGTGCAGCGGTGTGTGTGTGTGCAGCGGTGTGTGTGTTTAGTTCTTTGTATGTGTGTGTCTAGTTCTGTGTGTGTGTGCAGCTGTGTGTGTGTGTGCAGCTGTGTGTGTGCGGGTGCAGTTCTCGGGGGGGGGTACAGCTCTCTGTGTGTCTGTGTGCAGCTTTAGGGGTATCTGTAGCTGCTTGAGGCCACGTGGGTGCTGTTGCTCAGTATCAGGTTGCTGCTCCAGATGTTTCCAGCCAATTTTGTGTTCCATGACCAGGATCATTGCCCTTCCCTGAAGTGCCTTTCCAGGCTGCACCCAGAGGCCTTCCCATTTTTTCCTGTGCAAAGTTCCCCCTCCCACGACCCCGAGGAGAGAGAAGCTCCTCTGACCCTGCTCCTGCCTCTGTGTAGCAGAGCCTGGCCCTGCACAGCCTCAGAGGTGCTCACACACTCATGGAAACAGTCGGCTTGGAAAAGACCTCTGGGATTGTTGAGTCCAACCTCTGACCAAATGCCACCTTGTCAACTAGACTGTGGCACTGAGTGCCACATCCAGTCTTTCCTTAAACACCTCTGGGGTGGTGACGCAACAGTCTCCCTGGGCAGTCTGTTCCAATGTTTAATCACCCTTTCTGTGAAGAAATTCTTCCTAATGTCCAACCTAAACCTCCCCCTTAAGCCTATGGCCTCTTGTCCTCGCTTGTTACTTTGAGAAGAGGCCAACCCCCACCTGGGTACAGCCTTCTGTGGGTTGTAGAGAGTGTTAAGGTCTGAACTTCCTTTTCTCCAGCTTAAACAAGCCCAGCTGCCTCAGCCATTCCTCACAGGACTTGTGCTCCAGTCTCTTCACCAGCTCTGTTGCCCCTCTCTGGACTCTGATCTGTGAGAGACAGGTTGTGCATCGATCACTCTGTTTTGAGTGGGTTTTGCAGTGCAATGACACGTGTTGTGTAAAACTACTCTTTGTCAGAGTAGTTCTAGTTTCTGGTAGAGGCCTTAAATTAACTGTGTAGCTCATACTGCTCATTATAGAAGCTTTTGTTGAAAAAAGTCAGTTGTTTACACCAGTGTAAGCTGGTATTGCTGTCCATTCGTTCTTACTCTCTTCTGTTCCCTTTCTCTTACACAATGTTCATGAGACTCCACAGGGCACCAGTCAGAGGGAGTAGCTCTATAGCTCAAGGCTGGTTTTAGGTGTGCATCTGCCTGGCAAACAACACGGGATGACAATTGCTGAGAAGTTAATACCTGTGAAGTCTAGGGGAGATTTTTGCTTGTCAAAAGCAACAGGGGGAAATAAAATATATGTGAAACAGTGGAAAGCAAATAGCATATAATAGTTTATATTTTTTCTCCCAGACAAAGACATTCCTGTGCAATTATACCCTTTACAATTTATGCATCCTCCCTCATGTGTTCTTCATGCGCATTGCTAGTCTTGGTGCTTTGTGGTCTGGGGTCTTCTAACACCTTAGTGGATTCTCTCTCCATCTACATGCAGGCAAGCCATTAACTGTTCTTATCTTGTGGAATTGTAGCTTCTGCTGTTGGCTGCGAGCTCCTTATCTTCTGGTTTGTGCTACTTGTGCACCTGCTCTCCGGCAGAGCATGGGAAAGTCCTAGATTTAGGCTAAACATTACTTAGCAACATCTAAAACATCAGTGTGTTAGCAACATTCTTCTCATTCTAATGACAAAACACAGCACTGTACCGGCTACTAGGAAAATTACTGAGAAAATTAACTCTGTTCCAGCCAAAAGCATATCTGAGTGAAAGTCCACAGCTTGTGGCCGGCTTCCAGCAACTCAGGCTTACTCATAATAAACGAATAAATGTAAGTAAACAGCATACTAAATCACACAGTGTTGTAACTATGTTAAGTGGCTCATTCTATTTAAAAGTTACTTTTTTATGCTAAACAACTAACAATGGTCAACAAAATAGTTTTTAGGTGCAAACAAAACAGGAGAGTGACAATTGGTGAACTGTAATACAAAAATAAGTTTTGAGGCCAAATGGAGGAAAGAGAAGTATGTGGGAATGAGCAGAGGTTGTAAATTAGCTCATTTTCTGGTGGAAATACTGAGTAAAGTGATCTGTACTGCTAGAGTGGTATTCATCTGATGCTCTCTCTCTGCCTTTCTCTTGACTGAAGTCTATCTCTTGAAGCTGGCAAGAACATAAAACTTCTGGTTTTTCAGGTCAGGAAAAGTCTGCTGGAAGAGGTCTGGCACTTCAGTAACAGCTGGAACGTTATCTTTAGAACCCCCTTCATTGTGTTTTTTGCCTCAAAGTTCCCATCCACTTTTCATTGGAACTACAGTTTTGTTTGGGGCTTTATACATACATATATTTATTTATATGCATGTATATGTATTTGTTGCACTTCATTTTTCTGTCAGGTACAAATAAAGTTTTTGTTTCCTTTTGATAAAAATATTCTTTCCTCTGTTCTGTTAGACTGCAAACTCGTTAAAAGATGCCAAAGAGTCTCTTGAAGACTTGATCCTCAGGGATCAGCAATGTGTGTGCAAAGTGTAGCTTACAGCATCCACAATTCCAGTGAACAGAGACTCTAGGACATCAAAAATACTTACAGTTTTGTTGACTTCTTTTATGCATCCTTGAAAGTTTTCTGAAAGCAGAATCCTCTGGGATCAGCCAAGCCAAATCAAAACATAGGCTCACAGTTCAAAGTACTGAATCTATGTGTGCTGTTTGTCTTCCAGCATAAACATACTATATGTTTCAATCTTTTCATCAGTATTGGAAACTGATGTTTGATTTCACATTCTCCTTACTGATAATTAGCATTGTTCTCTGCTTTTTAAACTTTCTCTTGTGGTCCTCACTTTTCTTACAATCACAGCTTTGTGCAAAGATTACATTTTGTTCGCACTGGACTGGCAAAATCTTGAGTTTTCTGTCTGCAGGAGACCTGTAAAAACATGCAAGGAACAACGGTGTAAAAGTAATTGTTTAGCATCTTCTAAGATGATAAACTAAAAAAGATTCTTTTAAGACATAGAAGTCTATGCTGTGGAGGAAGGAACAGCATAGCCGAGATACCTGTAAATTTAGCTTGCAGTGTGTTGTTGGTGACAATGTAGCCACAGAAGCACAGGGTTAAACACAGCCTGTAAAATGTGCCAGGGACATGGTCAGGAACTGTGTGGATTGCACTCCCTGCTTTTGTGCAACACTCAGTCGGTGACATGGCTGATAGGTGTCCCAGCTAATCTAAAGCTGGCTCAAGCATCTCTGCAAGCCTTGGTGCTGGCTGCACCATAAACATGCCAGTAGAAACACAGCACAATATGGAAACCACGCAGCAGATGATATGTTTTGTGTTCGGGTAATGTGCACCCCTGCTTGTGTTATGTGTGCTGTTATTATAGCTTTTATTAACTTTAGTCTTAGCAAATGCCCTTTTAAAACAAGCACGTTTCATAATCAGTGAAGATATGCTTTGATACTCAGATATATAAAAACTTCTGAATTCCAGTTTTATGTTGTATTCATGAAGAGGAATTGCAGAGTTCTTTTTTCTCTTCAGAACAAAATTTGGTGTTAGTCCTTAGAGATCCTTGCAATTGCTATATATCAACTTAAGAGATTTAAGTAATGGTATCCTTTATGTTTTGCTATACCTTTTTTGTTTTAAGTGAACAAGCTTGTGTAGCAAGTTATGCTACACATCAGAGCAATGATATTTCTCAATGCAATGAACCTGACTATAATAGTTCTGTTTTAAAAATTAACTGCATGTCATGCCTGGTTAAAAACAGATGAGATAAGAAACTTCCATCTTTTTGAGGAATATAATTTTACCAGATTTCAGTTGCTGTTTTTCAAGGATATTGAATTCTGTTGTCTTCAGTCTTACAAACAAAACTGGCTTCAAAATTGAATGGCAGCAGGATGTTCAGTTATGTGATAAGTATCTGCATCAGTAATGATTGAAAGAGAGACTGATGATTTTTTTTTCCCCCGCAGTCTAGTCAGATCTCTTGTGTTGTGGGTTTTTCAGTGGCTTGCTTTGGAAAACTTGGTTTTAATGGGCTGTTAGGGTAGCATCTATTCAGTAACTGGCTGGTTAGACATAGGACTCAGTAACTTAGGAAACACTACTGAACCTTACTCTTTTTAATTTTTCTCCTAGGCATAATAAAGCAGTGAAGAGACACTGAAGGAGGTATTATATGCCTTACTGATCAGAAAACTGTTTCTAAGTATACTTCAGAAATATACATACAAACTACATATATATGTGGTAAAATCTACGAAGGTAGGATATCTTCTGTTTCTGTTTTATTTAGAAAACCTCATAACTAATGTAAACCTCTTTTACAAGTCTCAGTGGGGTTACAAAAGTAATTTTGTATGTTAAGGAGCAGTGTGGAACCTAAAACATATTCTTTTAAATGAGTTCTGTGAAATCTTACTGAGTTCCACTAGCCTTTTCATTATAGGATTTTGATGAAGACGGATTGCCCATTAGTTCTTCTTCACAAAGCTTTCAAATCCATTTAAAGGCTACTCCATTTTATAAAATAAACTGTGCAGGAGAAGACGGTACCTCCTCATGATTTCAGGGTTAGCTGCAGTTTTGGCTTCTTTTACTTCCTGAATATTAAGTATTTCTTTAGGCATGTGGAGATTTCATGCTGTTCCCTCTGGAATGGAAGTCTACAATGAAAAGAGAATCTTAGTCTTTTTTTTTGCAGTATGAAAGTATGAAATTCATATCTTAAGGGATGCGCAGTTCATAAATACATGATCTGCTAGTTGAAAGTACCACAGCTATTGTCTGTAAGGACACAGTTTTGTAAGCTTGTAAGGCATTACATAAAAGGCATTAAAACAGAAAGCAGACATTTGCATTTGAACTTTGATGATATTTCTGCTTCAAGTAGAGTTGATGTAAACAGAAACTGTATGTTTCACAGTGGCTGCTACAGTTACGTTCAGTAACAGAGTTCAGAACAAGTGCAGCTCAACTATCTGCTAAAGTCTTTGCTTTCAGAATTCAGAGAATATTGATATAAAATTGGAATTCTGATGTCCAACAGTACAATCCTCAAATTCTCACTGAAACCTCAAAGTTTCCAAAGTATGTGTTTGCATTCACATCTGTGAAGTTCTTTATTCACATTAAGGTCCCCATGTTCCTAGAATCACTTTCAGGCCTTTTCGTGGATATAACATACAGATTGAGCACAAAGATGGCTTTACTTCTATGTAGTATTTTTTTTAATAGGTTGAAAGTGTGTGGAGAGCATGGGTTATGACATTGAGCGTTTTGTGGGCTACGTTAACGAAGGGCTGTTGTGCTCCATCTGCCGAGACGTGTTAGAGAATCCATTGCAGGCTCCCTGCGAACACGCTTTCTGCACTGCCTGCATCCATGGCTGGCTTGTTCATCACAGTAACTGCCCTGAAGACAGACAAGCAATTGATGTGTCTTTGCTACGACCTCTCTACAGGTATTCCACAATCTTGCTGTATGTTGAAATTACATGAATTTAGGATTTATCAATTTTGCTTGCTCAGCTTCATCTCTTGTCATTTACTCACTCAGACTGTCGTTATCCAGTATGCCTGTGGCAGAAACTTGCATAAAAGCATTAGCATTTCCTAACTTTCAGGGTGTTTAGATTTCAAAATTGAAAGAACTAGTTTATTCTCTAGCTTTTTATATCTTGAATGCCATTTCTAGATATCTGTCTGGATATTATTCTGAATGCATTCTACAGCATCAAAACATTCCATGCTTTATTTTAGAGAAAGCAAGCAAAGCAACTCTGGACAACAGTCACTACGCTGTATCTTCTTTCTTTTCAGTCTTATACTGTAGTGGGGTTTGTAATGAATAATTCCTGGAGATATGAACCAAACTTCTGACCTTCAAATTCTTTAAAAAAAAAAAATCTTTAGACAAAAGAATGCCTGTTGTGAGACACCTTATCATGTAAAGCAGGCTGTTTTCACAAGTGCCTTCCATAACTAGTCAGGCACGTGGACTAGATGATTGTTGTTGGTCCTTTCCAAACAAACTATTCTGTTTTAAACTTTTAATTCCTGTTATTGCCTGCACGACAGAGTTTCATCAGTAGATGCTCCTTGCTGTTTAACACCTGCATTGTCTAATCTTCCTCAGATTAAGAATTATGTTATGTTTAAAGTCTTCAGCTGCAGGTGTTAAATTTACTTCATTAGTACTCACAACCTAGTTTTGTTATTAATGAGATTTTACTGTCTGGAAGTTAACTACAGTGTAGACAGAGCACTAGAGTTTAATTTTTAGATTATTTTGTCTGTATTCAATGTAGTTTGTTTAGTTTAGCACATTTAGAAATACAAAACTTAAATGATGAATGAGTAGCCTTGGTGTTTGTTATTGGTAATATCCGATGAGTCAGTGAAAGGTCACAGTTAGAAATTATTGAAAAATAAAGATTTCATTTGCACATTATTTTTGGAGACTGAATTTTCCTTTAACATTTTTTCTTTCAAGCTGGGGTTTTTTTCCGATATGGTCACATGAATTCTTTTTAAAAAATTAAACTGGTTGCTCACAATTTTTCCTAATGGAGGAATTAGGAAGTCCAAAAGTTGAAAATAAAGTTTTGTAATAATGTTCCAAGATTTAAGAACAAATTCTTTTTCTTTGAACATAGATACATGAAAAATGATCTAAACCGTCTTCAGCTGCATTGCAGAAACAGAGAGTACGGCTGTGAAATGGTTTGTTCTCTGGAGTCTATAGACAGGCATGAAAGGGAGTGTGAGTACAGTCAGATTCCTTGCTCCAATGCTGGTGAGTAACATTCAAAGAAGTTGAATCCTTTATGTTTAGAAAAGATGTGTTTGTAATCTTCCTGTCAACAGAACTGCAGTAATGGCCATTATGTTCAAACAGAAATTCAAAGCTTTGGCATGATCTGCTCTTTACAGCACTGTTTTTGAACAAAACATGGTACCAATTTATATCAGCCACAATGATTAAAAGCTGTTTCTTATCCAAGAACTAATCAAAATGGATGAGTATGATGGACTTCAAATGTATGAAATGTAGTAATGCATTGGTTTTGCAATTCTGACTGCATATTCTGATGTTTGAATGAATGCAGTAGCACCTGCAGAACACTCATGGGTCACAATTTATTTATATAACAACTGGTTGCCTGGTGCTCTCTCTGTCTCATGGTTTTAACAAAAATGTGTCTTGGAAATAAGAATTGTTCTAAGCTAAATTCTTGTTAGAATTGTTTTGTTCATGCTGAGGTGTTTATTTAAAACAAGCCTACACCTTCTGAGGAAGAAACATGCCTTTTAAAAGGCTGCTAAAATTTCCCAGTTGTATGTTTCTAGATAAAGTTAATTTCTAATTAATAATGCTAAGGGCATAGTTGAATCTGCCACTGTAATTAATTATGAGATGATTAAGGTGCTAGAATTGCTCTACTGGAAGTTATAATTTCTCTCAGCAGTAAGTGACTCCTGCAGATGCTTCAGATTCACCTATTCTAATGCCTAGAGAAGCAGGGTCTAGAGAGTTACCATGCCTGATGGTAACTCTCATGTATTCAGAGTATGAGGGTTCTTACATCTCTTGAACTCTCTCCTAAGAATACACTGGAGTGTATTTTGAGTACCTCAATTATAAATCATTATATTTATTACTAAAGCTCTTCTAGAGGGCTCTTTTGTCATTTTCTGATATGGTTTGTTGGAAAGTTTCATTACTCTGTTGTTTCAGTTCCCTTATGTTGATTTTTCTCTTCAAATTAAATGCAGTTGTGTATTACAGCACACAGGTCCTCAAAGATTAAATGTTAAGACTACAAACTTCAAGTTGAGACTGTTAAATATAACAATAATTTATATAGTGTTAATTTTTGATTCTTTACATTTTACTTTTAATCATTCTGGAATTGCAAAGTTTGTATCCTAGAATTTGTGTGGAAATGTTTCAATTCTTGTATGAGGTATTGAATGTTCATACGTAAATGTTCTTTCTTATTTATGTGGTCTAGTACATTATAGACAAGACCAACAAACTGTCAGGAAAACAAGGTTACATTCCATCTTTCTTACTACATATCTTTAGGCTTTTTTCCCTAAATTTGATAACCTAATATTTTTTTACGCATGTGCACTCTTCATCAATTCCAGTCTCTGCAATCTATGATGGAAGCACATGCAAGCTGCCAGTGTCTTAGATTGGCATCAGCATTGTCATTATGGAAGTTGCTTTAATACCAGACCAGCAGCAGAAGACTTTACAGAAAATACCTCCTTCCGATCTCTATTTTCAGTTAATGCATAAATATCTTAAGATTTCTTAACAGTGTTGTCGTACTAGCTATGTGTGTATAATTGTCATATATCATGTTCTAAAGAAATCACTTTTTGCAGCTTCCTTTCTTGAGTGTTTTTGTTTGGAATTCATCAAAATGCTTCTGTTAGTTGTAACGGACTGGCTCACCTTCCTCGTCCTTGTTCAGGTTGTACAGTGCAGATCGAGCGCCGTAACTTGGATGGTCACCTGGCCGTGTGTGAGTACCGGAGCCGTGAGTGCCCCAATGGCTGTGGTTACACCATTCTCAGCGCAGAAGACACACAGCACAATTGTGTAGCAGAGCTAAGAACGGAGCTGGAACTGCTTCGGTACAAATCTTCTGCTTCTTTGGTGTTTGTTTTAGTCTGGGCTTAAAATCACTGCATAAAGCACTTCAAATACTAGTGCCGGATCCTGGTGTGTGTTAAATGGTCTATTAATTACTTGATACTAATGGACCAGTTTTATTATGTGTCAGCATAGACTTTAAATTCTTGCTGGTTTGATTCCTTTTCTGTTTTGTTTTTTTTTTGTCTAGGTTGCTATAAGTCATAAAATACTATTGCTTACAGTTGAACAAAACTGTGAGCTTACTATATAAAATGACAAAATCCTAAGAAACCTGGACTTAAGTTGGCAATTTAATTTTTCTGTTGACCTGTTACGGACCCAAACTCACATTATTTAATAATTATATTAAGTTTATGTTTTTACAGATGCAGAAGATAAAAATCTGTAATTATTTTGACAGATACAGGTAGATTAAATTGCTGAAGATCTAATTTTCATTTTTTGTTAAAGTTCTGATAGATAAATAACAATAAGTGAATATGACTCTTCTTACCAGCATATTCCTTTTCCTCTTATGTATGTTTCTGTAGCTTTCCCTTTCCATTAAATTCCAGTTGCACTCTTTTTTTTTTTTTTCTCATGCTCCCTCCCATTTCTATCTTTCAGCTCTCTAAGTGTTGTGCTCTTGAACATTGCTGTGAAGTCAGGCTCAGATGTGGTTTAAATGCATTGAGACACAAGGGATTCTTCTACCTATTTCTGAACTCAGGTTAATGTAGTACAAGCTAGTTTTTTGGATGTAAAGCTGTTTGAGTGATTAGGTTTGGTGAGTGATTAGGTATGGTTTAGTGCATACTGTCATTTAGTGTGCACCCTGAAAGAGACAAGAGTACACAGAACCACAGAATCATTAAGGCTGGAAAAGACCCTCAAGACCATGTTTTTGAGCTCATAAAATTGCTTCAGGAATATGATACAGTTGACCCTCTATAGACTGCTCACGGGCACTTTAGTCCCCCTGGGCAAGATGCACTTCTTTATGCTAGTTGTTTATAAATCATGCCTCTACAGGTGTGCCTTGTAGAGTTTGAAGGGAATCAGATAAGGCCATTGCAAGAAGGCTTTCTGGAATTTGAAAAGCATTCTTTTCCATACTTACAAGACTTAACAAGGAGAAATAAATTTTTTAGGTCAGAAATGATCTGCAGAGTGGAGGAGGCAAAACATGAGATGGAGTCAAGATTAGATTCACAGAGAAGGCATATGGTCCAAAAAGAGAGTATTCTGCAAAATGAAATTGAAGAACTAAAGGTAAATATGATCATTTTCCTTTCTTTTTTTTCCTCTCTTAACAGTCTAGCTTTTCGAGTGGTAGCAGTCTCTTATTTTGTAAATAATAGTCTTGTACAGAGGAGAATGACATTAAGTATGGGAAGCAAAGCTGGCAAAGCTTTATCAGGTTAATCAGGTCTGTGGAGAAGCAGGCTGAATGCTGTATTCCCGTGGCTTATCTGCTTCAAGTTCACTTGGAGCTCACCTGGGTACCCCTTGCAAGGATTGCAGTGTTCTGTGCATATGTAACATTGTGGATTTTCAGTGTCTGTAAACTCAGAGCAGAGATCACAAATCAGGTGTAAATAAATATCCAGCTCCTTTTCTTGATGCTATCCAAAGTAGCTTAATCCAGAGCTGACACAGAGCACTACTGCCAACGGTGTCGTTTACACTGTGTTCCAGCTGTGGTCAGAAGGGTGGAAAGTTGCACCATAAATGTCATCAAGTAAAAAGCAAGACTGCCTTATCTTTTAATTCATCCAGTTGTTGTTTTATCACAGAATAATAGTTTGTAAAGCCCAAAACAATGGATGTGCTCTATAGTTTACATTTTAGTTTCTACTGGATTTGATGTTAAATCCACGAAGAATGTATCTGAACATAACCCAAACTTTATTTTGACTGGGGTCTTGAAATAGAAAATATAAGCAGGAACTGGGTAAATCTGCTGTTTCTTATCATACTTTAAAAGAAACTTTTTGAAAAACTGTATTGGAATCTTTAAAACGAGACAATCCCAGAAGGGGAATGCTGGATTGTGTCAGATTGTTTACATTTGTTCCACTATCAAAAAATTATTTCAGTGTTGCTTATTCTTTATAATCCATTGTTCTGTATGCATGGCCTGTTCAGCTTCATCCCACCATCATTAGAAAAGGGTTTATTTCTTGCAGTAAATTTGCATTTCCATTTCAGAGTCAGATATCACGACTGATGTCAGATGTACGCTCTCTGATGGCTGCAGAGAGACAGCACCGTCAGGAGCTGGAGCAGGCAGAGCTGGAAAAACGGGAGTTAATGGAGCTGCTAAAGGGGCTGCAGAAGGACTGCCGATTAACTACTACAGAGGGAAGCAAGAAGTCAATGAATTTCCGTCCTCTGACACGACTAGAGAGTGTAAAAAGAAAGCCTAGAGAAGTTACAGTTATCTAAGCAGTAGTAAGCTCAAAAAATGTTTTCTTCTAATACTGGCTTCTGACAAACTTCTCTACTTCCTTCGGATGATTGGTAAACTTTATATCGTTTCTGATTCACTTGTTTTCTTTTAAAGTCTAAATTACAACTGTATTTCCTTTGGGGGCATAAAAACAAATGGGAGAATTTTTTTCTGCAGGAGCACTGGGAGTTAAAACCAGTAATTGGCAAATGTATTTTTAGCTCATGTTTTTATAAAAAGGGGGAAGGAGACTTGATTTATTATCTCTTCAATGCATTATTTACTCAACTCTTTTAGAGTCAGAGATACAGACTATAATGGACCAGGAAGGAAACAATCTTGGAGTATCTATGTTTAAAGCATGAGAAAGCAAATATGATTGATAAGTAATGGCATTTGGGATGTACTTAATTTTGGGAAAAGTGAATAGTAGAATTAGCAAGTCAGTAATAGAAATTAATAATTTTTTTTGTTTATAATCTGTAGGAGATCTTGTTTCAAAGGTGGAAGCAAGCACTTTAAATTGTAATTCTGCTATGTAACAGCTTCAGGTGAGGTTGACTGTTGCTTTAGAACTTCTTGAATTTCCCAAGCTCATACACACTTAAGAGACTAATACCAAAGCCCAAGGTAACAGAACAACCTAGAACCTTTTAAATAGATGTGTGAGTAACTTGGAGTTTGTGGGAGGGGATCTACATTTTATTTGAAAATTTGAAGCTTTTATATGTGAAAGTATCAGCTATTTCTACAGGGTCCTTTATGCATAAGACCAGTCCATTCGGTACTCAGTATCTTTAAAGCATGTATAAATACCTAGAGTATCCTTAATTTTCTTTTGGCATATTTAAGGCTACTTGAACATTAATATCCACAGCAGATGAATATTTACTCAATCACTTGGACTTCAGACATCTGTATTAGTGCTCAGGAGCCTGCAGGGTGTGCCAGAGCCTGGCACTGGCATCAGAGGGTGACAGAGTGTAGTGGGTTGACCTTGGCTGTACACCAAGTATCCATCCAGTTGAGCTATCACTCCCCTTCCCAGCCGGAAAAAGGGACAGAGAATAAGATGGAAAACAATTTGTGGGTTGGGATAAGGGCATTTACTAAAGCAAAAAAAGTAAAAACTTGTGCATGCAAAAGCAAAGAGAAAAATTAACAAGGTTTATGCTCTACTTTCCACCAGCAGCAACATCCAACCACTTCCTGGGAAACAGGGCTTTCAAAACACATAGTGGTTTCTTAGCAGGCAGCCATTGGAAACAATGAATGGCTCCCTTCCTGCTCCTTTCCTTAGCCTTTGTATCTGAGCTGATGCCATATGGTATGGAATATCCCTTTGCTTAGCTTGTGTCAGCTGGCCTACTTGTGTCCCCTGCTAGAAGGAATGTTACAGTGCTGATGCTGTGCTCAGCAGTAGCCAAAACACTGGTATATTATCAACAACCTTCTAGTTACCAATGCAACACACTGTGAGGGCTACTGTGGGGAAATGAACTCCAGCTCAGTGAGACAAAATAGAATCTCCACCTCTTATTCCATAGCATTTGCTTCATACTCAGATCCCACATTATATATATATATATATATATATATATACACACACACATATATATATATATTCTGACTATCTCCTGTGCTTTCATAGATAGATATTATTTTTTCTACTTTATGGCCTTCTTCCACCTCTCCAGATCTTGGGCTCCATTCTATCAGGATGGGTACCCAGGACAGTAGAAGTAACACTGTCATTGGGCACCAGCCCAACTCAGGTCACTATCACTCTTCTTCCTCCTCGCAAAATTCGCTCTTCATTGTCCTGCTACTCTATTTCCTGCAACATACAACTTAAACACATATTATCTTTCCCCTAAGGTTAAATCTCCTTGAGACGCACACCAGGTCTCCCCATCTTCACGCATTACCCACCAGGTACACCCTGGTCCCTGAGCAAAGACAATCCAACAGATGGGTTTGCCTCTCCGCATGGGAGGAGAAACCCGCACCAACGTCCCCAGTCACTTCCCTTGTGTAGTAGGGGGACCTTATCTCCTCCCATAGTGTGTAGGGATTTTGTTTGGGCAGGACCAGGGCGGTTGGCGGATCCTCTAGTGTTGATCAGCCAAGTGACTTCAGCTAAATTTGCCTCCCAATGCTTCCATGTCCCATTACCTGACGCTCTTAACATAGTCTTCAACAGTCCATTATACCTCTCAATCTTTGCAGAGGCTTGTGGGTGATAAGGGATGTGGTATATCCACTCAATGCCATGTTTCTTTGCGCAAGAGCTTATAAGGTTATTCTGAAAGTGAGTCCCATTATCTGACTCAATTCTCTCTGGGGTCCCATGTCGCCACAGAATGTGCCTCTCGAGGCCTAGGATGGTGTTTCAAGCAGTGACCTGGTTTACAGGATATGTCTCCAACCAGCCAGTCATTGCCTCCACCATGTTATGTAGCTCTTGCCTTGGCGTTTGTGGCAATGGTCCAGTGTAGTCAGTTTGCCAGGCCTCACCATACTGGAAATCCAGCCACTGCCCTCTGTTCCAGGGAGATTTTACTCGCGTGGCTCGCTTGATTTCCACACGTTTCACACTTGTGAATAGCGTGTGTGATGACCTCCATGATCATGATGCCGAAAAACCTCGGTATGACAAACTGCTCAGTCTTTTGTATCTTTAAGCAGCAAGGTATTTGTTTATTCAATGTTGGCAACAAGCCAACTCATGCTGGACAAACGTGTTCGACTTGAAAGTGCAAAACTAAACCATTTTATACACTTTAGATACATGGTTACGTCATTTATTATACATATTAATAAGTAGGCTAGTCTCTGAGTGGAGTCTTTCCAGGCATACGCAGTCTTCTACTCTAGGGGTCTTTTCCTCAAACCTTCATCCCTCTGGTGGTCGCCATGGATATCTTCCTCAATTTGATCTCTTCAATTTTCTTTGTTAGGTGACCTGAATTTGTCAAGCTTGCAAAATCCTGGCTTTGGGACTTCTATATCGTATTCAAACGTCTAGTTTACCTAATTTATTACCATGTGTATACTACTACTTTCTATAATAAGGCCTTTGGTCCCATGAGCAGAACAGAACATGATATTAACCGGTGCTCCTAAAATGTTCTTCTAGCAAAACAGGTATTGGGGTTTCTTAGCAGGCCAAGATATCTCAGCTAGGGGGCGGAACCGACGGAGCACGCAGGAAAAGTTTGTGCACTGTTCTTCCACCTGGCGTGCGTTCCCGCATTCATCCCCTACATGCCTCAGCCCCGCGCACACGCAAGCGCCCTCCCCCCCACCGTCGCCTTGTTGCAAAGACCGCGTGTTCCCCACGCCGCTTTTCTCCCTCCCACCGTGCTCGTTTTTCTGGGGCTTGTCCTTTATCAGGGATTATGAGTTGGATTTTTTATGTTTTCGTGGTGATTCTTGGAGGTTTTCATTGGGACTCGTAATGTTGCGGTCTTTATATGATAAAGAAATGCAGTCCGCTCTTCGTGAGGTGGACATCAAAGAGGTTTATTTCAAATTCGGCGCTTCCTTTTATCCCCTAAAACCATGTGACCTTCTAACCAATGGGGTTGTCTGTCCCTGCGCATGTCCCCTGGTTCCCCTGCCCCTGGGACACGCCTCCTACATCACCCCCTTCTCACGAAAACAATGCAACAACAACAATGCAAACAATCAGAACAGTACATTGTTAACTACCAAAGCTTGCAATGACCCAGCACATCGCTTGCTTTGGCCTCTTATACATCTATGGTAAACTTTATAAAACTTTCTTATATTCCTAAAGGGTAGTGCAACTTGGAAAAATAACTTTATTGACTTAGGGGTCTTAGCTCAACCGTGCATACTTATAATCTTTATTAATCTGAGGGTTTTAAATAACTGGGGAGTTCAACTTTATTTAAGAAACAGGCTAAGCTTAGCAAAACTAAATTCTCTTAAAGTGACCATGTGGTGAAGGTAGTGTTATTTTTGTGAGGTGTTTTTGTGTTTAATATGCTTGTCCAGTCAAACAACTCTCTTATTCATCCACGCTCTCATTCACTGACAGCCGTCATTCCATTCATCACACACAGATTCACAGATTTTTACAGACTGCTTTTTGCCACACTGGTCGTCCTTAAATGTAAACCTGAAGCGTAAACATAACTCTTTTATAACTTCTGCGTTACTCTGGTTCTTGCTACTGTGGTTGTGTACCTAGGTAGGGTCTAACACACCTGGAAGGGATCCATTTAAGCTCTTTTCCTGCAGCCACACAGGCATGGCCTCGTTCCCACGTGACGAGATGTAACAGTCCCATCCACTGCCCTGAAATCAAATCTCTTACCATGACTGGTGGTTTGGGAGAGGCGAGAGCCTGAGGCTTGTGCTGCCTTTCGTACCTGCTTCTTTCAGCGCTGTCACAATTTAAAAAATTGATAACATATGTGGCTTTCCACAGACATTCTTGCAGGCTACAGACTGATTCCCCCTTTTTTTGTTTAGCTAACATGTCTTTCAGTGTGCGATGTGCCCTTTCCACGATTGCCTGTCCAGTTGGTGAGTGTGGGATATGTGTGACATGTGAAATTCCCCATTCTGACAGGAAATTTCTTACCTCTTCTGAGATGAAAGCTGGTCCATTATCGGTTTTGATCTGTTTTGGGGTACCAAGGGTAGCAAAACAACTGAGCCAGTGCCTTATCACATCCTTGGCCTTTTCCCCTGTGTGTGCTGTGGTGGTTATTTTTGTGAGTGTGTATCTATGGATACATGTACATATTTTAACGTGCCAAATTTGGAGATATGTGTGATATCAGTTTGCCAAATCTCATTTACCATTAACCCTTTGGGGTTAATGCCTTCCTGAGATGGCATGGGTGTGATTTTCTGACAGTCTGGGCATGACATGAGGATGTCTCGAGCCTGATTGAGTGTTATCTGAAATTGTCTCTTCAGAGAACGTGCATTCTGATGGAAAAATGAATGAGACAATTTCACTTGCTCTAAGACTCTAGGTATGGTGTTAAACATAGCTGCTTTGTCAGCCTCTCGGTTTCCGTCAGCTATTGGCCCTGGCATGTCAGTGTGTC